GCCCTTGGGGAGGGCGTGCGGCCCGTCGATCCTGCGCCGGCGGCTGAAGAGTTTGGTCACGGCGGCCTCGAGCTCCTGCGACGCTGGCACCGTCTTGCCGTCCATGTCGATCTGGCGGACAATGTTGCCGAGGCCCGAGACGATGGTGCGGGGGGCGGTGATCGGGTTCATGAGAATACACGGCGTCGTTGCCGCGGCGTCGGAGCCCGTGCAGACGACCTCGCGGCTCGGGCTCGTGACCATGTCTGCCATGGCCAAGGATGAACCTGGGCCCTCTCTGCGCCAGCGACTGGCGAGGAGCGTAAACGGCCGGCTGTTTTGGAAGATGGTGTTGGCGAGAGGCAGTGTGATTGTCGTTGCGTTGCCGCCCACGTTGGCATCGGCCTTGTTGACGCGGAAGGTCAATGCAGCCTTTTCGGGCTGGCCCTTCACCGGCGCGGGCGATGCATTGACTTGAGTCCAGAGGCCGGGCAGAAGGTGATCGAGCGGTCCGGAAATGATGGAGAAACCGTGACGAGCTGGCAGGAGAGGGTACTCCGGCCAAAGGCCATCGACAGCGGCGGTAAGGACATTGATCTCCGCCGCATCTCCATCGACCTTGGCAGATTTGGATGAGAACGACTCGAGGAGATTGGCCATGAAGGTCTTATCAGTCAGCCATGAGGCGTGGTTGCGCGACGCGAGTATCACGACGGCGTTTTGCCCTTTCGTACGGCGAAGGCCGTATGAGTCGGCTTCTTGAGCGAGTTTTTCGACGAGGTCATGCTGTTTGTGTGAGCACCTCGTAGGAAGCATGTGTGGAGAAGGGCAGCCAGTGAGCATCTCATACCTTGTTCCCGGCACCGTAAACTGTGAACCTGCTCAGAGGTGACGGGTTGAATGCACCGGCGCGATTCGTCGTAGAGAGGCGGGCGGCATCAGACAACCCCACAGACGAGGCTCTGTCGGCCAACCGCTTCAGCCAGGACGACATTGTCTACTGAGATGGGGAATACAGAAGTAGAGGCGGGGAATCTTGAAAAAGGGTGGTAGCCCCTTAGGGGGAAAATATGAGGGAAGAGAATGAGGGACCGCACACCATCCGTTGGGCCATGAATTAGACTCCAGATGAGGGATTCTTTACGCCCAATTTCCAATCTCTCAAATGGAAAGAACTCGCCAGTCGCGCTCTCGACAACGCATAGTCCGTCCAGCTAATGAAGCCAGTCCCGGTGTCACAGAACGCGCGTGTCACGAAATGAAGACCGAAATGTGGCTGAAGCTGTGGTGGAGTCGTGACGTCGACGAGAGCGTGGCTGGTGCACCCCCTCCGATACAGGTTCACAGTGAGGCTCGACATCGTCATCTTGTACACCTACGCCGTCTAACGAACTTCGAACACAATTGGAATATCCGGATCTACGAAGAGCTCTGGAAAGAAGTCCACTCGTACCCCAAAGTCATATCGCCTGCCAGAAATCCACCTAATCATGGCTACAAACAGTGGACGACCAAACAACAGTGAGTGAAGCAAGCCAGCCTCGCTGAAGAACACAACAAAAGTAACTTTAACCAGTCGGCGCGCCTGAGGGCCTAGAAATCAAGCAGCAATCACCTCCACCGCTGTCGAAAGAAGTCAAGGCCGACATTACGGACAGCACGCCGTCTTCATCAGTGCATGCTTCCGGGCAGGATGTTGGAGCCGCGAGCAACGCACCGGCATCAGTAGAGGCGCCACCACAAGGCAAGAATGAACGTCCTCCGGCAGGGGAGGCTTCATAATGCCGAGTAACACCATGCGAACGCCCAGGTCTCATGTCCCGAGCGTCAGGTTTGGGAGCCGTGCTGGTCTGGCAGAGGCAGACAATGTAGTCTGATATTGCACAAGAGTGCACCATGTACATGCCAAACTTCTTGTTCATAAGTACAATTGTCGGATCGTGATTCATGAGGATACGTGATATCAAATGCGCCACAACCAACCCCTTGACTCGGTACACAGTCGGGGACACCGACTTAGCAGGAAAGCCTTCATGCCCCGTAGCCCCGCAGGCATGACCTGAACGTACCCTATCTTCTCAGTCCGCCACCGCCGTCATTCCGTCCTCGCCCCAGCCCGATGCACAATACCAGGCGCCGACTGCCTGAACCCAGAAAACCCGCCAGCCAAACCGCCACGTGACGAGAGGCGCGAAACAGGGAAACTGGCCTGACCGAGCCCCCGAGAATCCCAAAGAAAACCCATTACTGCTTCTTCTTGTTCGCAGCGCCGCCCTTGCCAGCGGCGGCGGCGGCGGCGGCCTCCTTGTCCTTCTTGTCGAGGGCCTCAATCTCCTCGCGCTCCTTGCGCTCCGCGTACGCCTGTCCGACCTGCAGCACGAGGACGCCGACGAGGACGAGGGCGAGGATGGTGTTGCTCGCGGATAGGACCTTGAGGCTGTCCTCCTTGCCGAGGACGAGGCCGTCACCCTCGCCGGCGTTGCCGTTGGCCTTGGCCTCCCAGTCGGGGTCGTCCCAAATGCCCTCGCCGACAGCGCGCAGGCCGCGCACAATGTTGGTGAGGTAGACGCCGACGCCGATGAAGTAGAGGACAAGGGAGGCGCCGTCGAAGAGCACGTTGGCCTCGCTGGCCTTGAAGAGCTTGACGAAGAAGCCGATGAAGCCGACGAGGATGATGCTCGTCAGGAGGCGGCCGATGAGCGGGGGCGCGGCGTAGATGAAGCGCAGGTGCGTCTCAAGCTGCGCGTAGTAGGCTTCGGGGACCGGGGCCGAAGTCCAGAGGAGGGGGTAGTCGTAGGGGAACGAGGCGAAGAGAATGCCGAGGAAGAAGCAGACGCCTGGTCGCGAGGAGCATAGTCAGTACGAGGGCCCAAACATCGCAAGGGTCGCCAGGAAACACGTACAACCGACGATCAAGAAGGTCCCGAAAGGGCTGGATGGTTTGGAGCCGGCCATGATAGCTGGGAGACGGGCGGGCGCGAGAAGGTGAGGAGAATGTGTGTCGCAATGGGTAGTTGACGCTCTCTAGGTGACACGTATCTGTGGAGAGGAAATGATCAGTGGGAGGATCCAGCAAGAAAGAGGGTCAGGAATTTTCGTGACCTACCTAGCTACCTAGATAAGTAGGCTGTTGGCAGTCATGGGTCGAGCTGGGAGACGGACGGGCTGGTGGTCCACGGCGCGCGCTGTCGTGCTGTCGTTTGCGGCTCCCTCCCTGTCGTAGGGGCCGAGTCGTGCCCTGCCTGTCTCAATCTCCTCCATCTGTCAGCACGCGCATCCAGGGCTCTGAAGCCAGGTGCCTAGGTACAGCCCGGCGGGCCCGGGGCACTGTGTTTAGGCGAATAGGCGCATGCGTTGAACCCAGAAACGCTAAGCTTATCAGGAAGGTGCGCTTGGCATTTGGCGTCTCGACTCTCTTCGACGCCGTCCTGAATGTACCACACCGCGGCGATTGCACATGTCGTGACAAATGTGTTCATCCATGTCATAGTTGCACAAGTAAATATAGGGTATACTATGTTCCATTTGGACAAAGAAACCTGCAGCTTGCGCAGTACAGCTCTGAAGCCAAGATCGCTCTCGCAATGCTAAATCATGCTATCAAAATCACTAGATGCGTCCCGCCAGCTCGTGCTGATGATCATATATCGTACAATCCTCTTGTCAGCACGCCGCTCCACCTGCGCCTTCACCATCTCGCAACCCATTGCGCCAGCTGGTCGCGAGCCTGAAAATTATACCAAACATTCCAGTAGCTTGAAAATCATGTCCAATCGGCTCGTTTAAATGACGGCCTTGGGATGAGGCTTGCCCATCGTCAACTGGCTTAGGGACAGCGTCCTGGCAGCCTTCTTGCGCTGGCCGTCTTCATCGTCCTCGTCCCCATCTCCGTCGCGCAGCTCTTCCCCAAATGCACCGTACCCGTGAGACTGCTCCTCACGAGGCGTGGCATATGTTTCCGAGTAGTCGTCCTCGTCAACGCCCGCCAGACCCCCCGTTGCAATCCCCGAGTCTTCGGGCATCAATGGTTGATTCTTGTGTCCGTTTCCATACTCGTATTCCGGAGTTTGCTGATCAAATGCTGAAACATCACCAAAGGATCTCGCCGTCGGAGGAGGCTCGCCGTGCATTGAGGCCCACCGCTGCTTTGGCGTGGAAGCCGCGACAGCCTCGAGTCTTTGTGCCAACATGCGCACTTGAGCTTCCAGTGAGTGGCGTGACGCCCTCTCAGCTTCTAACAGCCTCAGCAGGGTGGAATAGTGCTCCGTAGTCAGCGGCCCACTCACGCCCTGGGAAATGGTAGGAAGGCTGACGGCACCGCGTATTGTCGAATCCGAAGTAGGCCTGTTTGCTACGGCAGGGGCACTGAGCTGTGTCGCACTGTCGTTGTCTCGCACACAAAAAGAGGAACGAAGCACGCGAGTCCCGCGAGCACATCGAGCCATGTCGTGAGGATGACTGCATGCCTTGGACGGCCGTAGTGGTCGATCGATTAGGCGTCGGTAAGGAGGATGGTGGCCTGTGGAACTGATCTGGCTGTATCCTGGTTCCAGGGGCCGAATTGCAGAGCTGGGTTATGATCTTTTCAGCCCGTCGCATCTTTGCCTCGAGAGTATCGATCCTCGTTTCCAGGCTAGCTGCAGCCGTAATTTTCATGCCAGCCATGGCATTCAGGTGTGGCATATTGCCAAAGTTGCCATGGTTCAAGGGGAGCCTTGGGCGGGGCATCTTGTGTTGCGTCCCCACTGTGCCCGTCTCGTCGTTGTCATGGTCCGGTGGT